TCCATTGACTATGACTTGACCGTCGGCCATACGGACAAGTGCTTTATTAAGTGATCTCTGAGTTACGGCATTGGGGTCAAGCTAAGTCCTTCCCTAATCAATCTTGCTTTTAATTCTAAATCTGACCACATCGCTCGGGGCATATTTGTTCAGTTATTGTCAACGACACGCATTCACAGCTATTCTGTTCTGACAAAATTACAGATGAAAACTTTCGTGATTTTAGGCACCAAACGTTACTTAAACATCATTTCATAGATCTAATTTACTAACGATTAAAACGTTGGCGTTAGTGTTACTTCAAACATATTTGTTACTTTTTAACTGAAAATAATACTATATACCGAAAGCTACGTTTTGATAGATAATCAGGTTTACACATATATATGCAGAACTCTCCTGTTTATGGGATAAATGAGATCACTTGCGCCTGTCTCTAGCATCATTAATTCATAAACAAAGATACTTTTATCATTTTCATTACTTGGATTTGTGATTCTGGGTTGCAAACTAAGGGAGGATAAGCTTCATTGTAGTAGAAGAGCGAGAAGTGAGAGTTTCACTTTCTTTATTTCCGAGAACCATGCCACTTATGGGTTAAATATCAAACAATAGCATCAAGTAGTACACTTACAAGAGATTATGTATACAAATTTAAACTAATTAATTGGAGAGTGAGCTTACAAAGTACATAAGTAATTTTCCATATCAGACACTGATTTCGCTACGTTTTCTCGTAGCACAATACAAATATTTTCCGAGATTACACAATTATTTTACATTATTAGTACAGAATGAATCGTTAACCTAAAAACGTTAGGACTTCTGTGAAATAATCGCTTGATATATTTACAAATCATGTCTTTATAGAATGGACATTTGTGCACCTGTATCATAAATTGATCATGGGACAAGATATTTTCTCGAGTCACTCCTCTCATGAATTTTCTGCAGCTGTAAGAATTGGCAACACTTACGATCCCTGTGATGGCGAAATTTGATTTATAACACGTTTAGCATTGACACGTACAACATTTTTTTAACCCTTGCTTAAATTCAAGTGAAATTATGAAAATATGTTTGAAATTAATTTTGTTGATGAATGCAATTTGGTAAAGATACATAAACACTTTTAAAAACTTCATCAATCAGACGTCAAGTCACCCTTGACAAGATTTCGATGTGACTGAAGAAAGATTAAAAATTGTTTCTCATCATTAAATTGATATTGCAGTGAAAAATCCGAATTAAATATTAAAAGATGATACCCATACATTATCCTTGGTATCAGTATCATATACAAATATGGTAACGAGTTCGAAGCAAGGTCATACTGTTTCTGCACTGCCCGGCAAGGGCCATTAAAAGTATTTGTTAAACGACAATACGGCTGTTTATGTATTTTATATAATTTAAATTTAAAAATAAACTCGATGAGTTGATTGATTACAGTTTATAGAACATACTACAAAGGTGAATAGATAATTGATTATTGAGATTAAGATAGTCTTTTATACGCGTGTTTTTTAATAAATCAAATTTAAAATTTAATGGATTACCAAATTGATAGTTGATTGACGCCATAACTCAAATGGTTAATTTTATTTTTGAAAATTGCGTGAAGAACATTGATGACGCATGCAGAGTGTAAAATTATCATAGCACGTTTGCTTGTTCCCAAGAATAAAGGGCCACTCCTTTTCTGGTGGGCTGAGAAGGGCCATTCTTCACATTAGCGTCGTCTAATAAATCATTAAATATACCAACGAGGACTAACAGGTAGTCGGGGTTTGTCATAACGAGGTTTGATAGCCGACTTCCGGTGACATCCCTTTGATGTTCAAGTCGTACATTTGTCATCAACAAATGAAAAATCATCTAGCTCTTCTTTGGACAAAGATAGCACGTGTTCAATGACCACTTAAAAACAGTTTAAGACTCTTGGACACGACAATCCCGGGAACATCAATGTGATCGGAAATTATATAGGTACTCGAGATTTACCTGTGTAATTTAATTCACCTGTCTGATTGCATAATTGCGTCATTCAGGTAAGATGATTAGTTTGAAGTATTGATTTGTAATGGGATCATACTCATTCGTTGCAATTTACAGTAGGATTCAAATTAAATATATCTACTTACTAATATTTCTCGTAAGGCATTTGACACGGTAACAAGATTTTGGTACTTCAGGTAAGAATCAAATATGTCTCTTTGCCTACTAGTAACGCGAATCAATTATCAAATGAACGTAATTGAACAAGAATGTTTTAAAACAAAGCACAATTTTCAGCAATTTATAGATAATTATCTGAAGAAATTATTGGTTTGCAGACTATTAGAAAGTTACATGACATCCTATGCACGGAAAATTATGCCAATTTTATTAATTTTTGGTATTATTTAAGTGCAAGATTGTTGTTAAAGGGGACATAACTCTAAAGTCGAAACGCTTGAGTACGTCCGTAGATATTTTATACTCTATTTTGTATCAAGCAGACTTAATATTTGTGTAGTTTTAGACACAGTTAATCTATAGTTATCCTAAACTTTTAATTGATAAAAACACATCCACTGACCCGACTTATGGATAAGAACTAAAGAAAATAAATAAAAATTGACTGTAAATATCAACTTTTAACTTTCTGCAGAGACGTATATCCTACATAGCTTTATATATCTCTGCTTTCTGATTTGCGAAATTTTCTGTTTACAAGTCAAGAACGATGGTACATAGAAATTAAGCATAGTGATACGAGATAGCATTTTATAATCTCACCCGAGTATGTTTCTTAAAATAGATAGAAGAACTTGTCAGAGATATGTTTTGACAATATAGAATTAACGACCTGCCGAACTCCGACAGACTATGTTGTACAACCGGAAATACGGGGCTTGTAATCTGCTATTGTCATTGTTCGCCACCCCGGGATAGTTACTTGGTGTTGACCAATCTCACGTCCGGTCATCTACACGGACAGTGACCAGGTGATAATGACCAGCGACAGACTTATCAATCTAGAGGTTACCGTTAGCTTATCCAACATGACTCCAGGCTGTTTATCTACCGTTTACCGTTAACTGATATCTTAAAAAGCTAGGGGCTGTTTCTTCGTGTCACATACTGAGTGTGAACAAGGTTAGTTTAAATGGAACAACTTTATCTGTGTCAGTCAAAACCCCATGACACCAGTGGATTGATTCCTTGTGATATGGGTTTCTGTCCAGTTAAGTCCATAACGGAATCTTGGTCTACGTATTTAGTGTTTAGATCGGAATACGGTAACAAATAAATGATATGATTATCTACTGGAATACCTCTTAATTATTTAATTTCTAACAATTTTACTTTAATTTTACTGAACTGGTAACAACATGACATGTATCTATCTGGGACTAGTAAGACGAGAGTCCACTATAGCAAAGATGGACATGATATAGTGGTTAGTTTTGTAATTGGGAATTAAGAAATATTTTCAGTGTCTATTCAGGTGAAGGTTTCTTCAATCGTTTCCATGTAAAAGGTGTGGAAGTGATAACATTTGTTTGAATATTTCATAATGAAATTTAAAAGAAATATGGTATAAATTGTAGCGCAAGTGAAGAGCCCTGCAGTAGAGCTAGGTATTGAGTAGACTTTAACCTACCCTACTACTACTTCAAGGTATTAAAAATCACGGCGATTTCTATTTAAAAATTGCGTCCCGTGAGAAATGCATTTATTACACAATGAATACACAATCTAAGGAGATAACGTGCATCCATTGTGTGTTGGGAATCCATTGTATCGGCATTGTGTATATCTTGCTGTAGTTCACCAAGATAAAAATTCAGACAGACATCTTGATTGTATAGCTTCCAGACGTTCGAGTGAGCGGAACATTAGACAGTTAGTACGCGACTTTGTTGCGTTGTTTAACGAGTTCGGTGTTCGTCGCCCTCTGACGTGTTTAATTAATGTATACGTTGTTTGCTTTTCTGCTTCCATTAACAAACATTTTTGTATAGTGTTGCTTCACCTAATAGACTTTCAAGTGATAATAACGAAGATGTGTTTTTTGATGATAGAGGTAGAACGACATGATAGATTAAGTACATGTGTATATCTGTTGTCATTGATGTAATACGTTATTTCTATGTGCATCCCATGACACTTTGTTCATAAAGGTGTTTCAAATTCAGGTGATCAATTTACCATAACAATGAAGATATATATTTTTTGCTGATAGAGGTATATGCTTTGTAACCCACAAAGATGTTCTGACAGGTTTAGTAGACGGTAAGCATGGGAATGGAAGCAGAAAAATAGTATTGTGTTTGGTATTGTAATACCGCTAGTCAGCAGTTTAAGTTATTTGTATCTTAGATGGTTGTGTTTTCACTAAAAACAAGTATCTGATCTTCAACAGAGAACCTGAGTTTGAACAATGCTTCCCTGGATCAGGAACAGTACACATTGTTCTGTATGTTGTGCGATCAACGATGGTGAAATAACACGTTTCTCTACTTTCTGTGTCAATAACCAGTGTTTTATTGTTACCAATGTTGTTGTAACACAGAGATCATATGGATATCTTTGTCGGTTTCTTTAAACAATATGTAGCATAGCCTTTCCTTGTGATGTACTGTGTACTATAGTCCAAGTATTTTCATTTCTAGGACGTATTGAAGTGCTTCATTATTAAACTCCTTCACCCCTGAAATTTCATTTGAAATATTCCAACTTTTGAAAAAAAGGAAAAGTAACGAAATAATACTATGTATTGGTTAAATACAAGCGAATTACTTTCAATACCACAGGTATTCACGTTTTAAGATTGCACTTATCAATTATATTAACACGGTTTCAGTGTGATAATTTGAAAAAAGATAGGTGTAAATCTTTGGAAATTTCGAGAAGATAAACAAAGAAGCTTTCAAGCCCAACACCTCCCCAGTAATCTAGCTGTTGCTGTATAGTTATCAGTAGGTAAACAGAGAAGAAAACAACAGGTTGTCTTTCATTTCATTCGTATTTAATGCATTTATAAATCAATGAATGCAAAAGGTTTTTGAGACAATGTCTCTACCCGTAAATACTTTCGCACTCTCGTCCGTAGCACCATCAACTTCGTGTGCATTGGATGCACAAATAATTGGAAGTCAGTCAATCGTGTAATAATACTTCATAAGAAACTATCCATTTGTATTGGAAAATCAAAGCCGCTGGCTCCATCGTTAATTGCATAATATTGAAAGACATATCAGCACTTATTAATAAAATGTCCTGAGTTTATTCAATGTCCAAGTTACTAGCAAAAGTGATCCTGGACAGTTAACACGCGAGACCGGAACATCTGGAAGGCACTTGACGTATGTTTGTAAATAACATCACAATTTGGTTTTGGTCCACTGTTCATAATTGTCTATTGTCATACATTGGTAATAATTTGTTTGTCTTTACACTGACCAGTGGTCACCATGGTCGCCATAGTTGTTCTTCCTTGAGAGCACTTGTGGCGGGAGAGTAGACGGGACTGGATGATAAGGTCGATACAGCGTGCGAGTTAGTATGCGCGTGTTTTTCAGGAGACCTGTACATTTCCTGTTCTTGTAGCCTGTGATAGTCTGATTTGTGAGATTCGGGACTAGTGCTAACTGCACGTGGTTCTGATTTGAGTGAGTTCGTCGTGTAAATATTCGACATCGTCGACATGTCTTCCGAAGGCGCCATACAAAATGCCACTGGTCCACTGAAAGCACTTCCAGGAACAAGTTCGAATTGTCCACCGTTTGGCGGTGTCTGCACAGGGATAGAAGTTTGAAGAGGAAACGAACATCCATTCTGCTGCTGGGATGCCGACTGCACAAGCAGACGTTCCGAAGAGTACATGGCACGTGCGTTGTTCACTGCATTTTGCGAGGCGGGAATTTGCACGTGAATTGGTTGGAGGTTGTGATGAGCCATTGATGAAGCGTTGACGGTCTGTACACAGCCACCGAGGTGGTTGACCACACGATTTCGGACATCCTCGTTAATACCCTGTGCCGATCCCAAGTAGCGCATCACCTCACTAGCGCACTCGGAGAAACCGATGTTGTATTTGGCGGCTACAGTGGGATCGGCTGCCACAGCGGAGGTAATCTGTCTTCGTTGAAGAGCCCGGAGATGCTTAACTGTCATTTCCAAAATGTCTGCTTTCTCCAGCTTTGAGTAATGAGACGTCTGCAAAGTAAAAATTTAATAGTATCAGTATATGAAATTCTTAACTTTTAAAAATTGTTCCAAAATAAAAATGCGACAGCATATAAAGTTAGTCAGAAAAAGTTTTATAATTTTCATATTACTTTTAAAAGTACATAAATAATGATATTCGCAAGAATATATAATGTAATATAAGGTAATATCGGAAGGTAAAAGTAACTCATGCCGATTGCCATCACACTTCAATGAACATAACAATATTACTATTTATATAATAATGGTTACATGTCAATTTCTTATCGATTGATTGTCAACATGTTTGATATTATCATTGATAAGTTGTTTATATACTTACATCTTTTTTCATTGCCTGCAGCACCAGAGACTTAAGTTGAAGTAAACAACTGTTGATTCTTGCTCTGCGCCTTTTCTCCATCAATGGCTTCTTACTCTGTAAAACAATTATAATTCGATTACAAATATTGTACATAATTTTAACTGTTACAATTTTTATATCCATCACTAAATATTACAACTTGATGGCCTGATATTATGTTCATTCTAAATTTCCAATGATGCATTTCAAACATTGTATTTAACAATTAATCTGGAATGTTTTCTCGATAATTGTAAGTGATATAATTTAAAGTGAGATTAAATAATATTTTTAATGTCAATTATTACAAATAAAATATGATTTTGATAAATGGCTTACCTTTCTTTGTGAATATTTCTCCTCACTTTTGAGAGACATTGTATCATAATCCTGTTGAATATCCATGTTAGCACTGTGTATATTGTTTATTGAGACTGAGTACTCGTATGTCTCACAGCCTCACACTGCTTGTGTATATATGTGGCCTCTGACAGCCTCCGCCAAGTTTTATACACGATTGACATTGTATCGTGTCTGGTGTGAAGCGATTTCGTCTCTTGTTCCCACGGTCAGATTCCATGACGGCCAGCCAATCAAATTCGAGTATTTTCCCGGCAAAATCAGAACTCTCGTGCTATCTCACTTTTGATTGGTTGAGACTGTTAACATCTACAATCTGGCTGTTACGGTATGTCAATCAAGCGGTTTATCTGTTGAAATCTAAATAGGGGCACGTGGCTGTGTAATTACATAGCCGGCGCAGAGTTGTGTGGGAAAACCACGCCTTTCCTACGGTTTAATTATTGTTCAAATACGCCGTGCGATAAACCCAGAGGTTGACAATAGATGAACAAGGGCACACTCGCGACCACGCTATCAGTCGGCCGGCCGTTTAGCCGTATACGTATAGGAATGTTCAGGCTACTTTTTGTAAAGGGGGACCTCGGACTCGTGGGAAAATACCTCAAGTGGGAAGGGAGAGAGTTTAATTGTCTCACCACGCTTGTGTAGCATGAGAAAACGACTTGCCACCTGTTGACAATTGGCCCCTCTGTCGACTTTGATTTAAACCAACACGACATAGGTAATGCCTCTAGCATCGGGCCAGCACGCGTCTTATGTACCGGTAGTTATAACAATACCGATCGTAAAATTAAACTGTGGTCAACCCGTCGCGGAGGTATAACGGTCGGATATTGATAAGTAACGGTTTACACTAGGGTGTTGACTTACCTTGAATTATTGTCCCAGATATAAAATTGATCACCTATTTGAGTCATTACTTGTCTTATTTGTATCAAACAATGTCTACGAGCCCTTTTCCGGGCCAATAAAAGTGTTTAAATAGAAAATAAAATAAAGATTGATTAATTTTTTAACAATAGAAATATATTGAGAAAGTCAACATCATAAACAATATTTTAAGATTAAGGCAACAGTAGTATACTTGATATAGTTTGTGAATTGAAAAAAACGAGAGCGAATTACCCAATTAAGTATGCCTATTATTTGAAATATGTTATTTTTTTATTTGATATTAACTAGTACCTCTCTTATTTTGTGAAGTTCATTTTCATCACACTTTCCCTTCTGTTTCAACAGTAGTATTTTTTATTTGTTTTTCCACTTTTTTGGCTCCTACCATCACCAATGAGTCCTAGAAAGATAAAACAGCTGTATGATGCAGTGTAATTCTTTTTTGGCATAAATGTTGTTGTGTGTATCTTACGTTCAACATTTAAAATGGTGTGAGTTTATTTACTGAATAAAACCCATTCAAATTCATTACACGTGCATATGAAACATATATCACAAATATATTACAGCTATGACATAGCATGTTACTATACCGTACTCGTTCTAAATTGAACTGTTCATTCTGAAATATTTTACTTCATTTTCCATATCTGCAACTTTATTTCCTCATGTAACACATCTTGCTTGTAAACATGCATGCACCTGTCCATCCTGTCAAAATTTAATATATGAATTCATGTACATGTACCTCATGTTACACATTTTCATGTGTCTGAGTGTTGGAAATAAAATTTGAAATCTGAAATTAACTCCCTAATGCAGAATAAATAAAAGATTTTTCATAATTCTATCCCTATTAAAGGTATGTGGTTCATTTCTTCAGTAGTTCGGTGATCAGCCATCTGAATCTTTCTCGGTGACCTATATAAATCTTCTCTGGTGTCATAACAATTATTATCAAGAAGGTTTACCATTGGCTAATATAGATGATATGACGACGTCGCGCCTGGTTATAAGGTAACACAAGTCCTCAGTGACAGTGTTATTATTTAGTTAGGTATCAACACCTGTAGTAAACACCTCTGTTAATTATGTATATATAGCAAGGTGATGAAATAGACAACAGGTACAGCGCAGGTGTGATTCAAACAGGTAAACCATATCAAAAGTATCTAATCAAAGGATCAAACATCACTTTATGAACCGTTACAAGGTATACAATAGGTGTGCGTGATATAACTGTATACAATCAAACACTCAACTTTATTACATACCTGGTGAAATGTACAATTATATATAGCATCACCGATTTTGTGGCGATGTTTCTTAATTCACATATGACAAGATATTGTATATGTATATAATGTCTGCATTAACCTAGTAACGCAATTTTTGGGGATTTTATGGAAAATCCTCTTTGTTATTCGCCAAGCCAATCAACAAATCAAAATAACAAATAGTTCCGAATTGCTTTTGGTAACATGATGTTATTTTCTGGTCGTCAACTTTGCTTCGTCTGCCATTCTTATTTCGTTTAGAAATTTTGGAATAAAGATGAATATGGAAAGCAGATAAACATTATTGTAGAATTGTCATTATTATAACACTAATAACAATTAGTATTACTGTAATAAAAGAAACACCACATCTTAATCTTAAAACAACGTCGTAAATAACACTCCTTTAATTGCGCTTGCGTAGTCTCCCATTTGCGCGCTACGCAATACTTCCACATATAGTTAGCATGCTATTAACGACGTGTTGAATTGGCTATATATTACATTTTTAGCAAATATGTATTTTTTAAATTGATTTGCAAGTTAAACAATACACAGAAAATTACATATACAAGTTATTGTGCATATCAGAATATTTACATTCTGTGTTGCATTTGCCTATATGTCGTTAGTAAACCAAATTGCAGTATATGAGACTGTATACTACAATTTACAGTGATACGGCCATTGTAGGAATACAGCTGGTAAAAGATAAACAGACATGGCCGACTGATACTTTCGGTATCAATAGGCCTATAGGCGGAAAACATTCTGGGTTCGTTAGCATTTAGCAATAGAGGTCATCACAAAAAAAATAAAGCAACTTGACAAATTATGACAATATAAATTTATTATAAGATGTGTAGGTACCACAAATTATTGTAAGCGCCATTCTAGATACGAAATTACCAAATTTGTCAACGTCATCACACAGGGGATCGGTTTCGAGATTTTGAGTTATGCATAACATCAGTGAATAACCACAACACTAAAATTCAGGATTTCTAAAACCTTGTAAAAGTCGAGGGTATCGACAAGGTTTTAAAATGTGTATAAATAGCTTTTTCAGTGATGTCATCCATTACTCAAAATCACGAAACCGAGCCCCTGTGAACGTCGTCTGCTAGCGATACTAATCTGACCGATTAGACATGGAATCTATTTCAAACGAAATGTCCTTGGAATCGTTATCACCTACTGAAAGGACCACTTTAACGTTTCCGAGTATATATGCTTCTGAAAATAACGTAATATTCTAGTCGAAGGACACATAAGCGTTTCCGAGGAAACCAATCAAGTCCGTTCAGCGCCGCATCACTTCAAAATACATGTAATCTATCAATGCGCGAAAATCAGCTTTAATTTTAAACAAGCTGAAGTTATGCAATCATTATCAATTTTTCAACATATACACACTCATATGAAATAAATAGATTGTGTTCAAACCATTTTATGTGCGTGTGATTTTCAATGACACGAGGGACTATATTATTTCTTCTGGAAATTTCGGCTGTTCGGGGATTTGAACTTACTGACGTCACTGATATGATAAGCGGGAAATTCAAACGTATTTTTGCTTCAGTTACTATACAAAACAAACTATATACATATACATGTAAATATCAGCATTGAACTGTTACCAGATGCAGTATATAATCGATATGTTTCATATCGACTGTATACTGCATCTGGTAACAGTTCAATGCTTAAATATACTGTGCACTTTGATGGCATATTATCTCCTTCCTTTGTTCAAAATACATTGCAAAATACATTGGAAAACACATCTATAAAACTATTCAAAAACATTTGTATATTTTATAAGTATTATAACATTGGTTATATACGATTTACAAATCACTGAACGTTTAATATACGTATATATATATGTGACTTATTCAAAGTTCTCCAGTCTTATTTAGTTATATATAACTAGAATGTATCTCATTAGATCGCTCATTACTGTATGTATCAATGCATAATAAACATTGTTTTCCAATCCTTGTATAGTTAAATTTAAAACCAGATTTGTTAACATTACACCCGCATTGCCTATAACGTAACATACAGGAAAAGAACATTAATCTTTATTCATTTCTAAATACATATGTGAATACAAACTCAATTTTGAAATAATTCAAAAGTTAGAACGGATAAATATAAGCACGACGTAATTCCTACATTTCAATATTTACCTGTTTTTGTGAGCCATGTTGTATGTTGCAACTGGTTGACGGAACTGTTGTCGAAAAGAACAACAAAAAGTCTGAATATCAACAATATTTATTACTGATTACAAATGATATATTACATTACAAGTCCAATGCTATTAACACCTTTATAGATATATAACGCAATTATCTTAAACATTATTTTTTTATCGGGTTAATTAGCCAAAAATTAATTCGAACACGTCGATGACAATCTAAATTCTGACATACGTGTGCGCACCCTATCGGTGTCTTTACACCTGACCTGTTCTCACCCGTATTGTTGTAATGTGACGTGAGGTTGGTGTACACTTCACAAGTGGGCCTATGTGATCTAGCAGACCCCATGCAAATGTACGACTCACAAATATAATTGTGTTATAGCAGACCACAGACACGTACGACTTACAAATATAGTTGTGGTCTTACAAACAAAACTGTAATCCCGATTTAACAAACAAAACTGTAATATTGCACACGACGATCGACTTAAAAACAGAACTGTTGTATAACAGACAACAGACGATTTACAACCAGAACTGTTATATAGCAGACAGCGTACGACTTACAAACAGAACTGTCTTATAGCAGACAACGTACGACTTACAAACAGAACTGCTATATAGCAGACACCGTACGACTTACATACAGAACTGTTATATAGCAGACAACATACGACTTACATACATAACTGTTATATAGCAGACAACGTACGACTTACAAACAGAACTGTTATATAGCAGACAACGTACGACTTACAAACAGAACTGTCTTATAGCA